ACCACAAATCAGTGTTTCTTTTCTTTCATCCTCACCAATTTTCTCAAATGAGGCCAATTTCAAAGGAGAGAAGAGGCCTGTTCTGCCATGATGGTCCTGTTTTTAATAGCATATAGGGGTGGTCCAGATGTGAGCAGTGTGAGCTAAAATGACGTTCTTTGATGTGGGATACAACTTTTACCATCCTTCCCAAACATGTCTTTCTATTTCCTGTGGGATTGTAGTATACACTTGTTTAATGATTGGCGAAGTATGTAATATAGAAACAAATGTGAATCTGGTTCACATGTTTCCTTTCCTTCAGCAGAAATGAAGGGGAACTCTGGAACCCATGTTGTCCTGTGGAACAATGTTAGCAAATGCCACCCTGAATTTATTAGTTGAGATGGGCAGCAAACAGTCTAAATGTTTTCATAGTGAATACACCAGTCCCTGATGGAACTGGTACTAGGGGCCCCTTCAGGTTCTTACAGTGGATCGGGACAGTGGTCAGTCAGGTCATTCTTTCAAGATTTCCCACTCTGGCCTCTGCATTGGCAACATGTCATGTCATGAATTTGAACTCACTTAAGTTCAGAGCAGCTGTTAATTGGAAGATATTTAAATCTATTGCTTTTTGAAGATTAAAGGTATTTTTCTGTTTCATAACACACATGTTCTCAACATGGATTTGTCTGTTGACAGAATGAGGGATTTCAAAAGAAGTTTATATATTCAGGGCTCTAAAAAAATTTCAGTCCATTCTACTGAGCTAGGACCATGATTTTTTGGGATGTTTGCACAGCATGATCTTAATCTAGTATTGATTGTTCTGGATTTGATATCATCTCCTTTTGTTACTAGGCTCTAATTTGTTTTGTTGCTGTCCACATGTGCTTTTTCCAGTCATAGAAAATCCATCTTCTCTAGTGCCCTGGACACAATCCCTGGTTATTTGTAATTTACTTTATTATTGCATGAGTGGGCATTGACTTGACAACAACTGGTTTGTGCTACAAAGGGACAGTGGGCCAATTCTTGCTGCATTCCTATGGTATATGGTTATAATAACTGTTTCTTAATTTATATTGCTAAGTCAGGTGTTGAATGAGTTGGGAAGTTAATGATCTAGCTATCCATTTTATGACTGATAGGCAGAAAAGCTGAAGGTTTAACCATTAAATCTAGTTTAATTTTGTGTAAGTCACTGGTTCCCAAATGCTGGTCCAATGACAGTGAGTACTTTTTTTAAAAAAAAAAAAAACCAAACAAACAGATTCTTAGTACTGTCCATGGAGATTCTCATTCAGTATGACTCAATTTAGATTCCAGGAATTGGTCATTTTTAGAAGTTCCATGGGCATTTCTGATACATGAGTATCAAGTGCATTCATGATTAAATGATGACTTTTTTTTTTTAATTAAAAAAGAAAAAAATCTCTATTGGTGTCTCAGATAATCCTAGAATGCTTTAACTATCTTCTTAAATGGAATATGTTTACCTGAATATTCTGGGCTATGTAGGAGGGGAGGAACGCTGGTGACGTAGTGCCTAAGGCACTTGACTGCTAACCAGAAGGCTGGCAGTTCAAACCCACCAGCCACTCTTCGGAGGGAAGGTTGGGCAATCTACTTCCATAGTGATACCACCTTGGAAATGCAAGGAGGGGTTGTTATGAGTCGAATGCAACTCGAGGGCAGTGGATATGTAGGAGGGGACTGTCAGGCTGGGCATTGGTTCCGCCACTCTGTGCTGACCTTCCATCAAACCAGTGATACTTGACCTGTCTAGGTGTCAGTTTCTCATTCATAAATCGAGGGCACAAGATTATCCATAACATTTTCCACCTTTTTGGCATTCTTTGATTTGCAGGGCTTTGCCCCCCTGGGAATTGTATCACTATTCATTGATAGCTGTTGTCTCTTCTAGTTCAGTTAGTGCCTACTGGCTCAGCAGAATTTTAATCATGGGATTTGTCTTGGGCTTGTCCCTAGATCCAAGAATGCCTTTCTTCTTTTCTCCTCCTGGTATTACCACCTCTCCAAACAGATGGAAATAACCATTCTACTGGGAAGCAATGTTCTTATGTTGGGGTTTCTCTTGAAGAACATTGAGGCTGTAATTCTGACCATTTGTAATCATGGCTTAGCAATTTCTACCCACAGGGCTAGGGAAAGCTCTGGTAGTGAGGTGGGTAAGACATTTGACTGCTAACCTGGTCAACCATTCAAACCCACCATTTGCTCTCTGGGGGCAAGATTTATTTCCATATTTACAGCCTTGGAAACCCAATGGGGGTCACTATGAAATGAAATCAACTCGATGGCAGTAGGTGTGGTTTTTTGGTTTAGGGTAGAGAAAGTTGTCCTTCACACACAAGATTGGTATCGGTGGCCTGAGGAGCTGCCCTGCACTGCCTCACCATTCCCTTCAATGAGGCTTTTGTGTCCAGAAACCTGTTGTATATTCTCCACTAGTAAACCAGTTGCTGTTGAGTTAACTCTAACTTGTGGCAACTCCATGTGTGTCTGACTAGAACTATGCTACATAGGGTTTTCAACAGCTGATGTTTTGTAAGTTCACCAGACCTTTCTTCCAAAGCACCTCTGAGTAGACTTGAACTTCTAACTTTTCAGTTAGTGGCTCAGTATGTTAACCTTTTGAACCACCCAGGCTCTCTGGTATGCTCTCTAAATCAAAAAACCAAACCCACTGCCACTGAGTCAATTCTAACTCAGAGTGACCCCACTGGGTCTCCAAGGCTGCATATCTTTACAGAAGTAGATTACCTCATCTTTCTCCTGTGGAGCAGCTGGTGTGTTTGAACTAATGACCTTCTGGTTAGCAGCACTGTCTTACCAAATAAACCACCAGAGCTTCTTGTATATTCTCTACAGGGGCCTTAAAATGGTGCCAAAGGACTGGCTAGGGCAGGGAGAGAACACAGTTTCTCCTTGAATTTGTGTTCTGTGGCCTTTGTGGAGCATCAGATGATTCCTAGTGCTTTTAAAACTCTGCATGCGTGTCACCTTTCCCCCACCTAGCCTACAGAGTCAGACTCACTGGGGTGGGGGTGGGGTCCTTTTTACAAGGCTATACTTTAGGATCTCCCTGCTTGAGCCCCCTCCTTTCCTCTGGACTGAACCCATGCTGTGTTCTCTGCATCTGTAATTATTTTTTATTAAGGTATGTCTAAATAAATGGAGAGTAGTCATCAGAATACAGTAAACTATGGTCTGAAACTTTTGAAACAAAGAATTGCTTTAAAACAAAAAGGTGCTCAGAGGCTGAGGGCTAGTCCTCTCAATACTTCCAGCAGATAGTTTAGGGAAAGGGACTGCCATTAAGATTTATTCCAGGTGCCTGCTGCTCCACAGTGGTCTAATGGTTCTTGTTTCACTCTGAAATATAATGGAGAGTATTGTTAAGTATAGTTTGACATAATTATTCATTCATCCTCTCTTCAGTGCAATTCAGCAAATATTATTGAGAATTTACAGTGCGCTAAGCATAGTTGTAGGTGTTGAGGATATAGTGAACAAAAGAAACAAAATTCCTTCATGCGACTTTGTCTCCACCAAAATATGTATGTTCATTTAACATTTAATTAAATGTCATTATTTAACATGACTAAATTCAATTATAATATTATGAAGTATCATTTTGGTAGAATGCTTCAGGATTGGCCTGAGTATCCCTATGATCACAAATGAAATCAAAAGATTTAGTTTCACATATGAAACCAGGATTAAAGTAGCAAAATGTTAAGACTAGGGGTTGTCTTCCTAACCAAGTTTGCAGTCCAGAGGTATTCAGAGAAACATTTTCTGGAGGGTGAATGAATGAATAACCCTATAGGGATAAGACTTTGGTCCAAAGAAGGACATTGACAGAGTTAAAGTTTGTTCCTTGACTTTGAAAATGAGTTTCCAGAAAGTATTATCTGGTACACATTTTTTTCTGGCTCTATGTTGTTGTTGTGGTAAGTATATATAATATGTGTGTAACCAAAAATGTCATTTCAACAGTTTTTACATGTAAAATTCAGTGACTTTAATTATGTTCATCATGTGTAACCATCAGCACTATTTGTTTTCAGATTTTGACTCTGGTAGCATAGTGCCTAAGGCACTTGACTGCTAACCAGAAGGCTGGCGGTTCAAACCCACCAGCCACTCCTCGGAAAGACGGTTGGGCATTCCTACTTCCGTAGTGATACTGCCTCGGAAACCCAAGGAGGGGTCGCTATGAGTCGGGGCCGACTCGATGGCAAATAACAACAACAACAACAACAACAACTTGTAACTTCATGTATTTAACTCCATGTATATGCAGATCCCTTGGAGCCTTGGAGTTTCCAGTACTTTATCTGCTTATTTCACCTAGTTAATCAAATAATTAAGTTGAGCTAAATTCTGTTTCAGGATTCTGGGATGTTGCTTCACACATAACTGCAAATTTTTATCCACCAGTCCTCTTACATGAGTTAAGATAGCTTTTGAAAGTGTCTAATTTACTTGTTGTGTGTTGTAGTTTATGCATTAAAAGTGTTTAATTCAGTTTGACATAAAGAAGAAAATTTTGAGCCTGGTTTTCTAGGAATTTGAATACTAAATTATTCATTACTTTTAGCATGTCTGTTTTAAAAAGTGCTTTTGTTAGGATGGAAAACTGTGGTCATTTTTTTTTTTTTTTTTTTTTACCATGAACTACCTTCTAGGATTCAGTGTGTGTGCTAAAAAAGTGGTGGGACTGCAAAGACAACCAATGAAAGGAAAACATGTTGGATATGATTTTAAAATAATCAAGAGAACATGCAAAAGAAACCAGGGATCAGCTTTTAGTTCTGGCTCATGTTGCTATTTGTGAGTTAAGTAGCTTAGAAGAGAAGTAAATAGTGTGTGAGAGAGAGGGAAAAAAAAAAGATTCTGGAAGTAATTATTAATGCTGAAATTTCTGCATCTCATTTTGGAGTGCTTATGTTTGGAATTTCACATAAGCGATGAAATGTATATTTCAGGTTTGTGGGGAAAAACAACGCTTTGAGAAGCTGATGGAACATTTCAGGAATGAAGACAATAACATAGATTTTATGGTGAGTTGTTTCAGTATTACTTTCAACAAAGCAAACTCAGCAATTTTTTCCTAACACTGCTAGGTGTGCGAGTGTGTGTGAGTGTTACGGAGACAGGAAATTGAATATTATATGCTGTAGATACAGTCTAGAGTGTCTTAATCTGCTTTCCCTTTGTGATATTTATTTTCAGTTCTATTCCTTACATATATACTTTATAGTAAACACCAGAAGTACTATTTATAGCAAATAAAGGGGAAGATCCATGTGATTGGGAAAAGGAAGTTGACAGGTAAATATTTTCTGGTGCAGATGCCCACAGTTGTCACATTAGCTGAATGGTGTTGCATGTTGTTGTTGTTATGTGCCGTCGAGTCAAACCCGACTCATAGCGACCCCTCCTTGGGTTTCCGAGGCAGTATCACTACGGAAGTAGGATTGCATAGGAATCCTTAAGATAGAAACCAAGAGCCTTGACCATTTCACCTCTTGCAGCTCCTAGCCAATGGTCTTCTCCTGACTATATTCTCAATGACTAGAGTGCTTTGGTTTGTAGAATTGACAGTATGTATCCCCCAAATTAAACAGCCCTGGTGGTTTAATGGTTAAGTGCTCAGCTGTTAACCAAAAGGTTGGTAGTTCTAATCTACCCAGCAGCTCTGTGGAAGAAAAGACCTGGCAATCCGCTCCCATAAAAATTCTACAAATCAAACCCATTGCCATCAAGTTGATTTTATTCAAAATGACCCTATAGTACAGACTACCCACTGTCTTCGAGTTGATTCTGACTCATTGTGGTCCTACAGGACAGAGTAGAACTACCCCATAGGGTTTCCAAGGCTGTAAATCTTTATGGGAGCAGATTGTCACATCTTTCTTCTGTAGAAAAGCTGATGGGTTTCAACCACCAACCTTTTGGTTAATGGCCAAGTGCTTAACCACTGTACCACTAGGGCTCCTGCTGTAAAGATTACAGCCTAGAAAACCCTATGGAACAGTTCTACTCTGTCCTATAAGGTTGCTATGAATCTAAATGACTCAACAGCATGCAACAACTGCAACAGCCACAAAATTAATATACATCTGTGATTTTTCCCATTAATCACTTTCCTGCTCTAGTAATGCATAATCATATTACAGTTTCCTTAGGTTAAACAACCTATAAGAACATGTTGTTCTGCAGCAATAGTGTCATCCTTAAGTTAAAACAAACAAACAAAAAGAACAGCTAAATGAGTTTTGGAACTTCTGAATTCATATACTTAAATGTTAATGGAGGCCTGAAGATGGTCTAGAGAATTTCCTGAGACAAATTTCCCTTGAGTGCATTCAGATCTGCAGGCTTTTTTGATTTAATACAGTTCCCCTAGAAAACTTCTGAACCCAAGAAGTCCATGAGCTTAATCTCCCAACTCAGTTCTAGCCTGGGGCAGATATCCTAACCAGCTCTTACACTGAAGGGTCTTGCAAAGCCTATGCTTAGGACACCAAGTGCAATTTTCATCGTAATTGCTCCAGTGACTGTCAAGTATGAAGCATAACTTTGCAAATTTCTGATCTTTTTAAGTGGATACTTCTTTCCCTAAAAAAACAAAAACTCACTGTGGTCAAGTCAGTTCTGACTCATAGGGTCCCCTGCTTGGGTTTCTGAGGCAGTATCTCTAAGGAAGGAGCTTGTCCAGTCTTCCTTCTGAGGAGTGGCTGGTGGGTTTGAACCGCCAGCCTTCTGGTTAGCAGTCAAATGCCTTAGGCACTACGCTACCAGAGCTATATACAAAAATTTGGAGTTTGCACATAAAAATACAGATTCCTTATTTTCTTGAAAATAAAAAATTTTGGATAATCCTAGGCCTCTGTTTCTGCAGAGCCAAGTAGCCCCTATTCCTTTAGTATGAAGGTATCCTCTCCAGTCCAAACCTTTCCCTATTGTGTTACACATGGCCCACCTTACTCACTTATGTTACCTATCAGACCTCTCTGGCCATTTGAATTTCTGCTGAAATTATATTAAGCCCTTAATGACACCTGCAGTTGTCTGTCTACAAACTAGAATATATTTCCTGTCATTTCATTTGTTCACGTGTATATACATCAAAGCACTTTATTTACAGGCTGTTAGTACGTTGTGTTCATGAGTCACCTAGCAAACAGTGAATATCATAAAGTTGAACAGAACATTTAGACCTGCTTTCTTAAGAGAAATGGAAAGATGCTGACCATGTTTTTCCTCCAGAAAAACAAGGCTTTTCATAAACTGCCTTGAGGATACAATTAGGTTGCTCAACCTCTCAAACAACAAATTCTTCTTAACATATAATGTAAATTCCTTTAATATAGAGTAAGATATTTTCTTCTTTTTTCTGCATTTTTTTTTGTGGACAAAAGCAAACAGAAACACCTGGCAAAATCTTTTTTAGCTTGTTTTATCATAGAACCTGAAGTGATTTTTTTTTTAATAAATTACAATAGAGTAACCTAGTAACATAGAGAGTTTATACATCTTCAAAGATATCCAATGTATCATTTATTCAAAAAAGGATCTAACTTGATAGACACACTTTAAAAAAAAAAAAAAAGGATAAAGGAAACTGGGTTTAGGGGTGAGAGAAATAATAAGGAGGTTCTGTGGGAGAAAATTAATCTAGGTTCCTCAATTATTTTACCTCCTTGCAAGAGATTCTCTTCAACCATAGAGGGAAACATTAGCAAAATATGTAGAGAGACACATTAGCAAAATATGTTTACTATATATGAACTGTTGAATTCTGTTATGTTATTTAGCAAACTGTAAACTACTTTTCTCTGTGGTGGGTCTTAGGGCCATGGGTGGCATTGTAGGGAGAGAATAGATCTAAAGCTTTCGTGGAAACTAATTGGTTAAGATGAAAGATCTGTTACTATCCTATTGGTAGGTGGGGTTGACAATAACTTTGTAGAAGTGATTATCTTGTGGGGGAGATTATAGGTGATTTAAAGTTCTCTGTAGTCATTTTCACATTTTTTAGAATATACCTATAATAATTTATGTAGACCTATGTGACTTTTGGGAGCTCTGGTAGCATAGTGGCTAAGACACTTGCCTGCTAACCAGATGGCTGGCGGTTCAAACCCACCAGCCACTCCTCGGAAGGAAGGTTGGGCAATCCTACTTCCGTAGTGATACTGCCTCGGAAACCCAAGGAGGGGTCGCTATGAGTCGGGGCCGACTTGACGGCACATAACAACAACAACAACAATGTGACTTTTAAATAATTGATAAAACGATATGACTTTTTTTTTTAAAAAATACAGTTTTCCTAAAATATAACTAACATATCATCCGAAATACCCACTTGAAATATACGATTCATTGTGGTTTTAGGTTATTCATAGGGTTGTCCAACCATCACTGCAATCTAGTTTTAGACCGTTGCATCCCTCTACATAGAAGCCCTGGAGTCATTAGCAATCACACCCATTTCCCCCCTTCCCTGAACTGCATTCTATCTCTATCGATTTGCCTGTCCTGGATATTTCGTATGAATGAAGTCATATAATATGTGGTCTTTTGTGACTGAATTCTTTTACTTAGCAGAGTGTTTTCAAAGTTCATCCATGTTATGCATGCCAGTCTTTCATTCCTTTTTATTGTTGTATAATATTCCATCATGTGGATCTACCACATTTTGTTTATCCATTCATCAGTTGATGCATATTTGAGTAGTTCTCCCTTTTTGACTGTTATGAATAATGGTACTTTGAACATATTTATATACAACTTTTTGTATGACAGTATATTTTCAATTGTCTGGATGATAAACATAGAAGTAGAATTTCTGGATCACATGGTAACTCTGTGTTTGACTTCTTGAGGATCTGCCTGTCAATAGCAGCTGTACCACGTTCCATTCCCAGAAGCAGTGTACGAAGGTTCCAATTTCTCTACATTCTCTTCAACACTCGTTATTATCTTTTAATTATTATTATTTATTTTTGCAGTGTTCCCTCCCCTTCTTGTTATTATCTTTTTGATTATAGCCATCCTAGTGAGTGTGAAGTGGTATCTCATTATTGTACTTATGTAACTTTTCAATTTTTTAAAAAAAGTTATTTAAAAAATATATTTAAAAACCTGATAAAATGAACAAAAAGATAATTGGTAAATGGGCTGGTTTAGTGACACTGAAAGCACATGATTATGATTAAACTGAGAAAAGAAATTTGGAGCCTAGCTAACCCCTTGATAATTTCATTTCAGGTGGCCTCTATGCAATTTATTAATATTGTAGTCCATTCGGTGGAAGACATGAATTTCAGAGTTCACCTCCAATATGAATTCACCAAATTGGGCCTGGATGAATACTTGGATGTGAGTATTGCTCTCATTTTTGGTTCAAGTATAGGAATTGCTTTTCTGTCCATCCTCAATGGTAAATCCATAGTAGTGAAAGAAGGCTTACAACTCCATGCAGTCAACCACTGTAGTACATGCTAGTTAAAAGGAACTAATCTGAGTGATGCAATCTGCCAGAGCAGCTGGATTCTTGCAGACTTCCTGGGACCTCAGGCTGTCTTCTGCCAGCAGCTGATTAGTCTGAAGTTAGATAACCTCTTGTAGGTTTGGCTGTGGCTTTCCTCTGCTTTTGAGCTCTGTTTGGGTCAAATCTCATCACATTCTTCCTCCAGGCTGTTGGGTAATTCACGTTCATGGTCACTCTGGGGACCCCATCTGGGTAGGGAACGTCAAACCAGGACTGCTATGGAGTGATGAATAAATAAGCTTAGAGCACAAAAAACTAATGAGGAAATGGACATTAGGGACTTCTTCATGTAGCTTTTAAATTCTGCTTAAAGTGTTTGTGGATTTATAAGTTCCACTTTCAGTTCTTGGGAGAAGGGGTCTAACATTTCTCTTTTTCTTACTCCCTTTCAGAAGTGTTCAGCCAGTTCCCTGAAGTACTTCAGCTAAGAAACAGAAAGTTGATGTGGAAATCATAAATGGACTTGAGTAACTATGTGTGCACAGGATGTACCCTCATCCTTTGACCGTTAGGCAGTTTTTGTTTTCCCCTTTATCCAGGAATGGTCTAGTTGAATTTGAATGAACACTAATGATAGCACAAGGATTATTTGCCTCAATTTCAAAGCCATTTCTGGTTATGAAGAAGATAGAAGTACTTCTCTTGGACATCTCCAAAGTTCAACTGTTGTCTTCATTAGGGATACTGTTGCTGTCTTGTGCTGTCAAGTCAATTCTGACTCATGGTAATCCTAGTGTTACAGAGTAGATGGTTCCATAGAGTTTTCTTAGCTATGATCTTTATAGAAGTAGTTTACCAGTTCTTGTCTGTGCTGCTGCTGAGTAGGTTTGAACCACCAACCTTCTGGTTATCACTCAGGGACTTTTCATTAGGGACAAAGGCAGGGAATTAAACAGACTGCATCCTCATTTATTGCAAGGCAGAATCTCAGAGTTGGTTACTCTGGGACTGATGGCTTTGCTTCCTAGACACCTAGGCTGCCCTTGGGTAGACTTTCCTCAGGAAGAGTCCTGATAGATTTCTCTTAAAGAGTTGTTGGAATTGTTTTCCTATTTGAAGGCCCACTCATGTCATTGACAGAATATATTATTGAGAAGTTGGTTCTCCTGCTTTGCGGTTGAATTATGTCCCATATTCCGTGAAAATGGCAATATTTGAACAAACATTAGATGTATAGATTCCTAGTGATGTTCTGGGTTCAGTTTTGTGATGTCCAGAAAGAGCTAGCTTTCAGGCTCTAGGTAATGGTGGCAGTTCCTAACACATCAGTAAATATTCGTTACTCATTGTGAATCTTGCAAAAATTCTGATTAAGCCTTTGTTCTATTTTCTTTTCTAACCTTTGCCATTATTCAGAAATCTTTTTCAGTTTTGACTATGGAAGTAAGGTGTGACAGTCTTTTCAGAATAGACTAAGTTGTAGAATCCCAGATTAGGCCTTGGAGAAAATCCACTTTCTTGGGAATTTATATAGAATGAAATTCCTTTTAAAATGTTGAGATTGTTTCAAACCTCCATATTTCTTTAACTTCTTGGTCTATTGATTCAGACCCTGACAGGCAGAGGTGATTAAAAGTGTAATATTAACAAGCATATAATGTATAAGTGCTTCCATAGTTTATGGTCACCCAATGTTGTAAGTGGTCATTAAGTTGTTCAGTAAATGTTTACTTCCATCATCCGTGTTCCAAATACTATTCTGACCACTCCACTCTTCTGTTCTCCAGGGCAAGTCCTGACTTTTGTAGGGAAGATGCCATGAGTTTGTTTTTACCTCTAGTTTCACCTCAGAGCTAGTTCAGAATTCTGTTGGATGCTAAGCCCTGGGATCTGGTGAACAGGGAAACCTTCCTGATGTCTGCTTTGGGGAGTCCTAAGCTGTTCCTGCTGGGCAGTGACTTAGAGATGCAATCTTGGAGGGTGCGCAACTTGTGCTAACATAAGCCTGTAGGCTACGTATTAATCTATCAGTGTCTCCCCACCTCTTCACCTAACCCCCTCACACATGTACACTGAGGGGCATTATAAAGGCAAAGATAACAGCCACTCCATTCTTTTGTGTTACATAGCAACCCCTCAAGATTTATGTTCCCTGTTACTGCTGTTCCCTTTTGAAGCTGTTGTTGATTTTTTTTTTTTTTATTTTGCATGTTTCAAAATGTTTTAGATTAGCATAGGTCGACATGGAACAGGAAAGATTAGAGGGAAAATGTGTGTATATTTGGGAAGGGTTATTCTCCAGAAGGTAATCTACTTGATTTTATTGTCTTAGGCAGTCACTTCTCTTAAGGAGAATTTGTAATTCACGCAATTCTCTGAAGGAGGATGATATATTAAGCCCTCTTTTGGAAGAGACTTGGACTATTTGGAATAAACAGAAACTCATGCTAACACCACCTTCTCTTGTGTTTTGGATTTTAGAAGTTGAAACACACTGAGAGTGACAAGTTGCAGGTACAGATTCAGGCTTACCTGGACAATGTGTTTGATGTGGGAGCTTTGCTGGAAGATGCTGAAACCAAGAATGCAGCCTTGGAGAGAGTGGAAGAACTGGAAGAAAACATTTCTCATGTAAGTGCAGCTCAGAAAAAGAAATGTTGCTTTGGTTTCAATGAAGTGAAAAGCTGAATTAGTGTTAGCTTTATGGCAGTAATTAAAGCATTTGGAATACAGAATGCTGCAACTTGGCGTATGGAATTATCAGAAGCCATTCTAGGTTTTAGCCAAGAAGGCAAGTTTACATTACTTAAAACTAAATGGAATCATTTGTCTTGCCTCAGCTCACATTCCTGCCCAGTTTCATTGAGTTCACATTCTCTAGGTATCTTAGTTATAGGCACAGGAGAGTTAGTTGATTGCTGTAACCTAAAGATTAGAGGGAAATGCAGTTCAAATATGGGAATTTGACCCTGAGTGACAAAAAATCTTCCAAATATGAGTAATCTTTTACCAAAGCTGTCTACACAGGCCCATGGACAGGATCATCTGGTGTTTCCATGATGCATGTCTGCACATCCCTGCCTTATGGGGCTTCACATTTACATAGACAAATTTCAACAATAGGCATTTTCAAGAGACCAGTGAGCTTTTCTATCTATTCTCTTCTTTGAAGAAAAGTGCCCTCTCCGTGTAACATCAGCTCTCTCTTAAAGCAGAGGCTCATTTTTCTGTGGAGGATCTTTCTTGCCACAGACCACAGTTGAGTATGAGTCTAAAGGCCTTCAGAGGTTTTTCAGTTGCTCATTCATGAAGTGCACATATTTAAGTATTGAAAAAGTGACCAGAAGAATAATGCTTCTCAAAAACTCAAGCATTGTGAGGATCCAATTATTTTCATGACATTCTGATTGACTGTCATCTTGATTGTGAAATGAGTTGCCTCTTTTTTTCCTTTTTTAGGGATATCAGTTTTCCCTAGGAATAGTCCATTTCTTTCCCTCCATGCTCTGTAGGAAACATGTGCTTACTGCCCTTCACCCTTTTCTATCACTCTGAGAATGGGCACCCATCCTCTTGGCTGTGTTTAAGCCATGTCAGTAGGCCCCAAATCCTCTTTTCGTAAGTGTGACCGTGCCCTAGGTGGCACTTTCTTAAGAAGAGAATTACAGTCCCAGTATTCTTTCACTAAGAGATTTGTGCTATATGTTGAACTTGATCACTGCAAATCTCCACTCTTGCTCCTCACCTTGTCTTACTGATTTCCTTTATGTGCGATCATTTTCAATGAGATATAAGAAATCTGAAGTCACTTGCTTTTTGAGCCTTATGCTAAAAGTAGCTATTGAACACATGACTCACCCTGTCTTTCACTTGAAGCCTCAGCCAGCACTGCATGGCCATATTTATATCCCCACTTTTGTAGCAGACCACCTGTTTATTTGAACTACCCACCCCAAAATGTCTTTTCTTACTTGGGTAGTTTGAGTTGCAACAAATAGTAATCTTTTTTTAAATGGGTCTATAATGACTGGACAGTTTTTAGATCAACTATTTTCAGAAGCTTTTGGCTGATGGTCCTTTCTTAGGTGGGAATAAGGAAGACCAGAAGACTCCCCTTCCTCCCTCACCTTACTGATCTCTATTTTTGCTGTTAATACCAGTTATCATCCAGTCAATTCTGATTCATGGCAATCCCATGTATGTCAGAGTTGACCTAACTTCCACAGGGTTTTTAATGGCCTTTTATTTGGGAAGTAAATTGCTAGGACTTTCCTCTGAGGCACCTCTGGATACTTGAACCTCCAACATTTTCAATTATCAGCTGGGTACATTAACCTTTTATACCTCCTAAGAATTTCTCCCCTTTCTAGCTTCTTCAAAAATGGAGGGAGACACACTGTGCATGTTGAAAACTAAGGAGCTGACATAAGAGTTTTATTAAGGGTTACATATAAATTATTAATTTATCTCAGATACAAATATGTATGCAGAGCCATATTATAAATATTAACAATACCAGAAAACAACTTGTGAAACACATGTAGGACTCTGGTGGTCCCTTAATGGCCTTTGAGCTACACTTTCTGAGAACCAAGGACCTAGATCAGATATGTCCTGTGTTGTGACACAGCTTCCATTTCAAAACCTTACAGTTGTCTGAAAAACTGCAAGACACAGAGAATGAAGCCATGTCCAAGATTGTGGAACTGGAAAAACAGCTTATGCAGAGGAACAAGGAGCTGGATGTTGTTCGAGTAAGTATGATGGTGACAGCTGCCCCTGATGGGCATGGCAGGGAACACATGTCTATTTTAGGCTAATGGGGTGGGAATATGTTGATTTCAGAGGAATGCCCTGATGCAGCATATTTATTGGAACTATTTCAGAGGTAATGCTCAAATGAAACATACACATGGAGTATGTATACACATGTGTATGCAATCAAATATTGGGTGTTCAGTATTTCCTTATCACAGGCTTTGGGAACAACGACACTGTCCCATCTAGAGGAGGCTGAGTTCATTTTGTGGCTCATCCATTTGGTTGAAAATAAAAGCACAGCGTGGATTTAATGCATGCCACTTATTTGTGTTTTATTAGTACATGGGCTTCTTTGTATTTCTTTACTTTATCCACTTGAAACCAGATTTGGTGGTTACCATGGAAATGGTGAAATTATAACACAGGCTAGACTTAATGGTATTCACCAAAAAAAAAAAAAAAAAAAGATAAAGAAAAGCCAATCTATTTTACTATCAGCTAATCCCTGACATTTTATTTGGCCTTATGCTGGTTTTACTTACATGTTAGGTATTTATAGAGTGCCATCCAAGAGCTTTGGATTTTACAGAACATAAAACACCAAAGTGCCTGGAGGGCTTTCAGGCGAGTGGCTTGCCTTTACACCACTGTTAATAAAATGGTACATTTTATGTGATGGTTATCATGTCTTGTGTGTTGCTTGATCCTCTAACATGTCCTATAGTTAACTTTTGGAAATTTATTTTCTGGCATGCCTCGGAAACAAAGTCGTAGCATATGGACTTAATTCAAGTTCAGACTCTCAGATTATTAATAATAGACAGGGTGTGAAGAATGTTTCCCTGCCTGCTGGAGGTTTGTGGTGAGAGATCACATGTACAAGGCTCAGCAAGTAAAGTCAGTTCCATAAAATTCTTTCTTTAGAACCTCGATGGGCCCCTTATGAAAGGAACCAAGACAGACTTTGAACTGAAATTTGTAACTTCTTTGTTTTCTGCTAAAAACCTAAACAGAAATAAATCATTAGTGGAGGGATACTTTGGCCCATTTTGTTAACTGCATTACCAAAGGGAAGATGTTCAAACATCCCTGCCCCGAGCCTTGGTCAAGAGGGCATCATGGGGACCAGAGTAACACATTCAAGAACTGTTTGCCCCTGGTTATGCATGAGTAGATTATTCCGTGCTTTCTGCAAAGCATTTTTTAATCCCAGTCTGACTTATATCTAAGTCTGATTTAGATCCATTTGTCTGTTGTTAGCAGATATGTATCTAGGAGTTACAAAGAAATTTTATAATAAGTGAAAGCAAAGCGTATATATATTGTCAGTATATTCCAGAGTCAAATGTAAAATTATGTTGGGGCCATCTCTGTCCTGCTCATGTCGACCTGTGGAGGAAATTTAGTTAGCTGTATTTATTAAATGTAAAGAACTATCTTAAGAATAATATTATTTACGTAACCAATGAACAACTGATGATTACAACGGGCCTTTGTAGATTCTGGTTGAGTTCTGTGTAATTCTTATTTATGTGAGTATCTTTTTCCTATTGTTAGTTGTTGTCAGATTGGTTTTGACTCGTTCCATGTGAGCAGAGTAAAACTGCCCCACAGGGTTTTCAAGGCTGTGACCTTACAGAAGCAGATTTCCAGGCCTGTCTTCCAGGGGCCTCTGGATGGGTTCAAACTGACAACCTTTCAGCTAACATTTGAGCGTTTAACTGTCGGTTTCATCCAGGGACTCCTTATCCTTTTCCTACTTTTTAGTTATTTTCTCTGTTTTCAGTGTGCCCATCTGATGGGGACACAGATAGGAATGTCATATGAAGACACACTCTTCATCATGGACTCTTTTGCAGGAAATCTATAAAGATGCAAATACCCAGGTTCACACATTACGAAAAATGGTCAAGGAAAAAGAAGAAGCTATTCAAAGACAGTCTACCCTGGAAAAAAAGATTCATGAACTGGAAAAACAGGGGACCATTAAAATTCAGAAGAAAGGGGATGGGGAGATTGCCATACTTCCCGTTGTGGCATCAGGCACATTGCCCATGGGGTCTGAAGTGGCAGCTGGTAACTATGTGGGACCAATAACGGGGACTACCTCCTCGGGGCCCTTGTCCACTCCTCCCCCACCACTACCTCTGTCATCGGATGCAGCTGAAGCAGGTAAGGAACCTTGACATGAGAACTAAGGTAGGATTGGGATATTTGCATTTCTTCTTTTACCAACTCTCCAATTATGCCCTTGGTCTATTTATGTTGGCACATTCTTTGGCTTACTGATTTTAAGAACGTTTTATCTTTTGAGGTTAAGATTGTAAATCTTCATTTCACATGTGTTGAATCCCCCATTTGTCAATGAGGAAATTTTATAGTCTTTGAAAAAAAAAATTCTTTTGTCCTTTTAAATGATCTGCTTTCAGATACATTATATATAAGTGACATCTTGAGAGAAAAATCATTTCTCTGTTTTTAAAGTCATTCTATTTCCTTTCTCCTTTGCTAGTGCAAAATGGTCCAGTAACGCCACCTATGCCTCCACCCCCACCTCCCCCAC